AGGAGCAAATAAAGTGAGCGAGGAAGAAAAGAAGGGAAGTTAAAACGTGATACGAACAATCGCTATATCGCTATATTATTAGGAAGGGCTGTTTATGGGAATAGGCTGCTGACTAGGTTTTTAATTTCTGAATCATCAGGGAAAATGAATTTGCTCAGTGCTGATCGGTTCATGAAGCAAAATCTGAGAACGGAGCGTTCTAGTTTGGCAATATCAAACTTTTTTTGCTTATATATACTTATAAGCCGTCTAGCTCAGTCGTCCAAAGCTTTTATTTTTTTAATGCATCTCATTATTAATATTTGTAATGCATTTAACAAGTTACGAAAAGTCTTCTAGCAATAATAAAGTATAAAATTGTGAGAGTAATATTCCCAATTTCAATATTATACCAGTTCTGTTGCATGGAAGTGTCTTAATGCGAACAGAAGGCACAAAGGCATCTAGTAAATGAACCCAGTGACATGGCTGTTGATAATTCTCTCGTACAAAAGATATGGAAAAAAAACCAGACATCGCAGCTACGTCAGATATACGAAATTAGCTGTCGAAATGAATTGGTAAATAGCGGTTGATGATATCAGTGATCATAAAAAGTACAATTTTAAAGTATAATTAAAGTCAAAAATCAAAACTCCTTCACATTCACTCCCTATGATTCAGAAGTATTTTAAGGATAGCAAATGCCAACAGCAACCATCTACTGCCTTTAAAATTGAGCGAATACGGAAGGGGCTTTGCCTTTTGATAAAATCTATGGTGTTGCCAAAAGTGCACGTTATGATGTTGTTGAAACAAATTTGATGAATAACAGATAATGCGAATCTATGTTGTTGTAGGCATAGGCGGAGAGGGGGACGATTTTTCTCCTCCTCCCGTGTACACTACTGCACCGGAAACCCCACCTTCCCCCTTCCCCCATTCGGCCACCCCACTACCCTCCCCCTCCCCCGTTGATCGTCCCGATACATCCCCCTCCCTCCCCCGCGGTCGTTATCATGCTGGGTGCTCCGCTACGCCTCCCCTCCTCCCCCCATCTTTCCCCATCCCCTCGGCTAGTTGATCCTTGAGCGTGGTAACGACGGGATATGGGGGGAGGGGACACGGAGTATCGAACAGAGTTTTCTACAGTAAAACAGTTGCTACCTAAGACCTCCCGCCGTTCTCCTTTCGGATCCGCCAATGGTTGTAGAGAATTCACATCCAGAAGAGAATCCCAATACTATACCTCAGGCTATAGCATGTTATTTCATGCGCTTTATAAAACACTATTATTTTAAAAGAAAATGTTAAACTTATTCCAATTTATGAGCTATTTTGCAAAGCGGGATTTTCTAGCCTGTAGAGCAATATGGAAAATTTAAAGCAATAACTTATTTTTTGTTTTTACATCATTTTTTTGTGTTTGCGAGCTACACTCTACCCGTGTTTTATCAGCTGTTGACCATTATTTGTTATGTATATGTGTATGTATGTATGTATCTGTGTGTATGTATGTGTGTGTGCATGTGTGTGTGTGTGTGTGTGTGTGTCGTTTTCATCTCAAACACAGTACTGGTCTGCTTTGCTCCCCACCCGAATCTGCCGTTCCGGATTACAACGCTTCTGGCTTTCCAACGATTATTTCAAAACAACAGGAAAACTTTGACGAGGGATCCCCAAGTCAGCCTAATATTTGTTACTGTCACCGTTGAAAATCCTGTTTTTTTTAGTCTTCTTACAAGAATATATTGATTTTTACAACAAAAAGCGGAGCTATGGGCTATCAATCGCTAGGAATATGAAAGCAAAAAAAAAGCAGAATTTTTTCAGCTTTATAATTGGCTGAAAAACAAACTTTGCAAAGGGAGGCACGTTTGGTGTTGTTATCGATGCACCATCAGCGAGAGCTGATGCCGGAGCGATGAGTTGCACAGCTTGCAACAAACATAACAACCTGCAAAAACAACAGTTATGATTTGTCTTCAGAGATCGGGTATAACTAATGAAATTAGAAGGGATGGAGTAGGAAGGTACGACTTAAATAGTCCATTTAAAATCTGCTAATAAAGTTAATGTCAACTTCCCTTTCCAGTACTCCGAGAGACGTAAAGGTATTTAAAGATAGCCCAAGCAATATCACATTGCCAACAGCAACCACTCACTGGTAAATCCATACAAAAGGCAGTACGGGCCTAAAAGGCACTGTGAAGAAAAGGGGCCGGAACAGCGGCCCAATAGCGAAGGGTATTTGACGGAGGAACCGCACAAACCGTGCATGCAATAGGAAAATGCAGTGGTGGGGCCGGTAATCGCCCAAGGTCTGTGGTGCTGGTGCTAAGTTGACAATATTACTATTTCCTAAGCAGTATTAGAGACAGAAATCCATATAAACTGCACATAGGAAATTTAGAAGTTGCGGTAAAATTGCGTTCATTTTTCGCGTATTACCACATTTGTGATAATTGTTAATACATGCCTCACAATACATGTGATAGTAGTACATCCCTTGCCACAAAATACTACAAAAAGTTTATTTTCTCAGAAACATTTTGCTTTTACATTTATCAAAAATACTAAGACTGATCGGCACTACTGTGGGTATCCCATGTTAGTGATGTTATCGGATCGTCTTCACATCCTGACACATCTCTGCCAAGTCCTTCGATTCTGAGCTACATAGTTTCGATCAGTAGCCGTCACCTGTCCGACCTATGTGAGTCAACTCTTCAGGAGCAGCTCCAATGTCGTTCACTTTTTCGTGGGAACTGTCCAGAAATACGCGATGCACATCTGCTATCAGTAGTGTGAGCAACATGCCCTGTCCATCGGATTTTACTTTCTCGCATGGTCGTAATGATATCCTGCACGCCACTTATCTAACGGAAAGTCTGTTTGCTTATGCAACAGACATCCCAAGCATCCTTTGCTCCATTGCTTCTCCACCACAGCCTACATCCACACTTCTGCTTTCATCAGGGAAGGAATTACGATTATTTCATACAGAACAAAAGAATGAAAAATTCTTGCCTGGAGACTATGAAAGAAGCCTGCATTGCTTGGCTTCATTTATTCTTGACCGGTTGAAAGCAGCCTCGATGGAAAGTAGCATTCCTCCATAATTATCCGCCTTAAAAAAACAATTAAACAAACTTATTCAACAAACAGCACATTCTCCAAGACGCTGCATCTGTCTTTTCATAAAGATATCAGTGATGATATTTATAAAATATAAAAAATATATCAAAAAATAATCAAATGAAGAGGAATGTTCCGGTCCACTAAGTCGCACACAATCCTACTCAGAACTATAACTGGACCTTGTCAGAGTGACACTGCGATGCTAATGAATTAGTAGTAGTTAAATATAAATTTTCCAATAAATTAAGTGGTAAACAAAACATGTATATAAATCTACACTATCTCAGTACCACATCGAATAGTTTCACTCTTTTGAACAATACCATGTCCCATCTAAAATGAGTGGATTTCTCACACCGTTGCCCTGAAATCTCCCTCGCCTGACTTAAATCTTTATTTCTTTTTCAGAGGGGCGTTTCTTTCCCGTCATTTCTGCCGAAAAATTTTTAACGACCTTCCCACTAATGATTTAAATGTCTAAATTACCACCCAAAGCATCCCAATGCCCTTCAAATTAGCTGTTTTAACACAAAAAAACCTCCCAAGGTTATATATTCTCATGCATTCCATAAAAAGCATTGCAAGGATAGACGCCATTTGGAAAATAGAATACTTCAACATAACAAACCAGCTTTATGCGATACTGTACGTAACCAATACAATGAACCTGGTGCTTATTACAAAAGCGTCAAAACCCTTGCCGTATTCGCTCTGTAGGAAAAGCCGAGGTACCACAGAAATGCGCCAACAACTGTTTCAGTGGTGCAAACATATGCAATAAAATGATTTCTGGGAAGAGCCTGCGCAACGAAGCAGTTCAAAACTGCATCTCCACCAAAAAATGAACAAACTGTGATCATGATCAAGAACATTTCGAAAGAGAAAAGTGCAGTTTTTGGGTTTCCATACAATAGATTTCCAAGCAAATGTTCTTTGCCTTGCCTCCAATCGTAAAACGCAAAAAAATAAATCAAGTATTCTATAAACCGGATAAAAACAGCACCTCACAGCGAAACCTGATCCTGAGAAAACACACTTTGCACTGTCAGCAAACAGACAAACGGTTTTTTTTCTCTCTCTCTCCTCAACATTACCTAGTTTGTTTAGCTATAGCTAAATCCCGAACTAATGCACGAAACCGAAGAATTTATGTCATACAAGGGATACTGAGCAATTCGCATAAATTTTCAAAAAAGCAATTTGCAGTAAAATGAAGTTCTAATGACTTCGGCAAAATGGTCTGAGAAGGGTTGCTTTCCAGGGCTGATTTTTTACAGAAATTGACCTGAGCCAGCTTTTACAAAAATTTCACCTTCGATAGTAATTGTCATAAATTTTAACAAAAATTAGCACATAAAATACCCAAAAAAAAAAAAATTACCGCTTATAAGTGTTGAAAAGACAGACCAGAACAGCTCAATTTCGATCGTTTTGAAAAATATTCAAGAACCAACTATATTTTTGCAAAAAAGCAGAGCAAAATTTTAGGTTTATCGCAAAAATAACGGTATAAGGAGTGGAGTAAGAGGATTCTGATTTAGCACAGAACAATAAAAATTTGCAGAAGCTGAAAGTTGTTTTCAGATCAAGGCTCTCTCCTTGAATTTATCCCAAACGAAGAACAATTGCAATTATTCCTTTTTATGCAGTTCTAGAATCTCAATTATTTCTTTTTAAACACAATTGTTTAAAAAATTTTAGACATGCAAACAATGAATATCTCTGACTAGAGGAATGGAAAAAGACAGGGGCTTGAAGTCTCTTCTTATATATGTCTAGCACTGAACAGTTTTCAGGCCAAGTATTGGTACCGATTACGATGAAAAGGAGGAAAAAACGTAGAACAGGGACAACAAAATAAGATAAAGCGATACGTAAGATATTAATCTTCACGAAGTGGCAAAAACATTTTACGAAGTGGTTTGCCAGCTTCAGCAATTACTATATGAATTTTATCGCCAGTGCTTATTTCACGTTCTGATGCTACACGAAATGCATCTTTCATCAACGATTTGGCACGTTCGATCGTTAAACGCGGCTTCTCCACGTCGCTCGATAGTGTCACTAAGCCAATCTGGAATAATGCAGTTTTATTCACACAGATTCCTGCAAACCATACAACAGGAAATCATACTCTAACCAGCGTGCAGGATATCATTACGACCACACGAGAAAGCAAAATCCGATGGGGGAGGGGGAAATTTGCTCGTTTATCTGATAACTAGTGTACGTTGTTCAATTATTGAATGGAACGTAAAAAAATAGGCGATATCAGGAAATCATAATCTAACCAGCGTGCAGGATATCATTACGACCAAATGAGAAAGAAAAATCCGATGGGGAGGAGGAATTTTGCTCGTTCTGCTGACAACCAATGTATGTTGTTCATTAATGAATGGAACGTAAAAAAACTAGACGATATCTGAAGGGTTTTTGAAGTGATGTCGCAACATCCATCAAACACCTGATAGTTATTAAACGGAGTATGCAGATACAGCTAAAACGTCTAATAAATATTAAACAGAATATAGAACTTATGGACGAAATGTATGAGGTAGCAAGCTGCGCCCGGTAAATGAGAACATCCCAGTATCAACCATCTATCTATTTCTAGGGAGATGGCAAAATTTTTTTTTTCACTGATTAAGATAGTGCTTTTCACAATAATATTTCGGAAAATCGCTTAACGGAATCGCCCAGCGTGTTAGCAAGTTTTTTAGTATTTTTTTAATACATCCTCAGTACCATCCAACTATTCGTTTCGTCCATCTGTTATCTGTCATTCTTGCCACACGATCCGCGCACTTTTTAAGAAGAAACTAATGTTTGACTTTAGCCTCCATCGTTCAAAGAACACCAAAACAGCCTTCAAGCTAAAGCAAGAAAAGACTGAACATTCAGAGCACTCAGAGTTCCAGTGCTCCTTGTAAAACTTGCCTGGCAATCAAAGAAAGGCATCATCATTGGTTCTGCACTACCGGATGCCGAATACGTGAGACGTTCAATGCAGCCAATAGGATCGTAGCTGAATACAGCTCCTTTGCCTGTAAAATTACACAGATTAAAAGACGGAACACAGAGGGCAATTATTCCCGTGTGTCGTCACTGGTAAAATACTAAATACGCATCCATAAATCCGAAAATCACTGGGACAATCCCCATAGGGATGCTGTGATTATGCAAAAATGGCTGGTATGGAAGGAAGCAAGTAGCTATTTTTACATAATCGCAGCATCTCTATGGGAATTGTCCGAGTGATGGCAGTCAAGGCCCTTCGCTGGGCAATCTTGCCGTAGCGCAATAGCGCCGTAGCAATGTATGCTATAGCATCGGCGTCTTCCATGCCATTTAAACTTTGGCGTATGCGTACGTGAATCCTGAGGGTGCGTGAAGGCTGAATTTGAAATCTTTGGATTAGACGCGGCCAAAGAACATCTCTGGGAAGTTCCTGCCTCCTAGCATGGGCCATTCCCGAAAACGCTTTCCCTCAGATATGTAGATCTGAGGGGTATATTACGGATGCTTAATGGATAGTGTGATAATTGAACAGGATTGCGCCCTCCGAGGAGACGGTTTGAGGCAGCAACCTGTGCCATGGTCGGAGAATTACC